ATTCTATACCACTCGGTGAATGGAAATCAATACATTTCAGAAAAGATATAATCTAGACAATGTAGAAGCAGAGCACAAGCGTGGTCCCTGGATAGAAATGTACAAACACATCCACAAGAGAGAGACACAACCTTCAAATTGTTGTCTCAAGTTGTCCATAACATTTATAATAAAGCAGAAACTTCTAAACCTGTATTCTTGGGCTATACTATATACCGAAAAACACCGGAAAACTACCAGAAAACACCATGTTATACTGAATACTGGAAAACACTGGAAAAACACTAAATACCGGAAAACACACTAAATACCAGAAAACAACCGGAAAACTACCAGAAAACACCATGTTATACTGAATACCGGGAAACACCGCAAAAACACTAAATACCGGAAAACACACTAAATACCGGAAAACACCCTAAATAGGTAACCCGGAGAAGGGCTATACTATAAACCGGAAACTAACCCTAACCCAGGCACACAGAGGACCAGGCTCCCGGTTACCTATTTAGGGTATTTTCCGGTATTTAGTGTGTTTTCCGGTATTTAGTGTTTTTCCGGTATTCAGTATAAAATGGTGCTTTCTAGTTGTTTTTTTCCGGTATTTTCTGGTTGTTTTCCAGTGTTTTCCGGTATTCTTTGGGACCTTAAAAAGCACATATTGATTTAATATGAATATAAACTGATTCTTTAAATTTTGATTGTAATTTCTAATCAATTATGTTCAATGAAATATGTACATGGCAGTTGTTTGTGCCAGGTTAGTACAATTTACAAATATATCCCTAATAGCAAATGCAGGTGGACTGCACCACACACAATTACATAAAACAAATCTACGGACAAGACACAATACGCAGAAATCACAAACAAACGTACATATCAGATAACACAACATCAATATTGATTAAAATGGACTAATATTGAATTCTAATTCCTGTTTTTAATGTTGAAAGTATGGATAATATTGTGTTAAAACTATACACCCTTTAAGAAGATGGGAAGTTGGATGTATCATAAGGTCTGTCATTGAGTCAACTGGCGTGGCTTCGATTCCCTGGTTGTACATGACAAGGAGTAGGGTCGCCTGTCCAACCTTGTGTGTTTTCTCCCACTGCTAAAGACCCCTACGCGCAAGCGAATTATTGAAATAAAATTAAACCATATGTTAGTCCTGAAATGACATAGTTTGTGTCGAGTGGATGTTAAACCCCATTTCTCTCTCTCTCCCTTAAAGAGGACTACAAACTTAACATCAACCATTCCAAATGTAGTTTATGGTTGAATTTGTAACAAAATTACACCATATGTTATTCCCGAAATGACCTAGTTTGTGTTGAGTTGATCTCTCTCTCTCTCTCTCTCTCAGAAGACTACGAACTTAACATCAACCATTCCAAATATAGATTAAGGTTTAATTTAAAACAAAATTAAACCATGTGTTAGTCACGAAACGACCTAGTTTGTGTTGAGTGGATCTCTCTCTCGAGTGGACTTAAACCATCTCTCCCTCTCTCTCTCTCAGAAGACTACAAATTTAACATCAATCATTCCAAATATAGATTATTTTTTGTTTCCATCTCATTAAGACTCACTAATCAGATGAATAAAGAGAGAAGGGGGATCACTTGCACACAATAACATGTTCTAGAAATCTCATTATTTCCATTAAAACTTTTCCTTTGAGAAAAGGAAGCATAAAGCATACATTAATTTTTAATTATTTCATTCCAGCCATTGAACAATATTCTAGTATTTTGGTTTTAAAAGATTATCTTTTTATTTGTCACTTCATGCTGTTTTTTAAATTATTATACGGTGATTTTAAAAATGTTAATATCAGATCTTTGCCCAATTTAAATAAAGAGCCGATATTAATGTCTAAGAGATTATACCTGAATTATAACATATTTCACAATTTAAATCTTTTTATTTACTTCGCAAATAGAATTATAATGTTACAAACTACATTAGTTGATCTTGAAAAGTTGATTTGAAAAATTACAAAAAAAGAGTGGACCTATTTCGACATTTAAAAAGATACAATTATTTAGCAACCCACTAAGATATATTCTGTATTTTTCAGCTTCATTAATGATCTCACATTCCTCAATAGAAAATATCATCATGAATATCATGTCTCGCAATTTTCAGCTAAAATGTTTACATGTGATAATCTAGCTGAAAAGTTCAAGGTTCGTTCAATGTCAAGGTTTCCGTGGAGGTGTCCATGTTTGATTTGAGTGTGTTTGTGTCACTGTTTCTGATTGAACAGCACTATTGTTCATAGGTCTGCGGTAAAAGGCAATAATGTACCTATAAGTTCGGGAATTTCAGACTAATGTAGCAGGGGCTAGATGTTGTTTAACTTGCGGTTGTTACTTCAGGAACATGCCATGCATATGTCAGGACAGTTTCTAAAATGAAAACATTGTCCACGTGCCCGATTCATATGTTTGTTTGTCTTATAATTAATTCCGATTATAACCAAATCTAATATTATATTTAAATACATGTATTTAAATACCTACAAACACCTGTTTGCTTTAATTTACAATTATTAATGTATTCAACAAATCCACATTACTGTAGTAACAGATGTTGAAAGTCTGATAATGTGAAGTAATATAATCATAATATCAAGAAACATGTTTTATAAATGACCGTCTAAGCTGTTTCTTAACGTTGTTTTTGTGAGAAAAACCTAACTTTTAAAATATCAAGAATGGCCATCTAAGCTGTTTCTTAAGGTTGTTTTTGTGAGAAAAGCCTAACTTTTAAAATATCAAGAAATATGTTTATAAATGGCCATCTAAGCTGTTTTTTAACGTTATTTTTGTGAAAAAAAAAACAACTTTTAAAACAAAATAATTCTTCTTAAAAAATTAAACAAACCGATTAAAAGAAAGCCTCAATTTAACCAGAGTTAGTCTGTTGTGTAATCATCATTATATGCTTTACATGATTTCAAGATTATACATGCTGTAACAGTGTAAATAGAAAAACCTCAAAATAATGAAAAATAGATTAACAGATTAACACATCTAAAAACTGAACACGGAAGGATTATCTTTGATTGCATGTTCTTGTAAAAACTTCCTGGAGAAATATATTTAGTTGACTACAGGCTAATAGATGCCATGTGCAAATCCGAAAATGAAGGACTCGGTGGAGATTCTTCATCATTGTTAATTAGTTCATTCAGCTTAACCTTAAACTAACTTAACCTTGACATCGGAATACAAACCTGGTGTAAATACATTGTAAGCTGGCTTAAATTCAACAACTTCCAAAGTAGATTAATTTCAGGAATATACGACTCCACATGTCAGTGGGTTTATCAGCGCTAGAGATGATTGCCTGTAGCTAATCCTTTTGTTTACATCTTTTGGCCCTTGATGCATTAGGTAATTCAAAATTTTTTTGTCATTTTGAAGGAGAGAGGGAGGGAGAGAGAGAGAAAGAGAGAGAGAGAGATGGGATTTAATGTCAACTTGACAAACTAGGTCATTTCGGGACTAACATATGGTTCAATTTTTACTTCTATAGTAGGCTCTCTAGCTGTGGGAGAAACCTGGAGGACTTAAGAACAGACATTATGATCTAAAACGTACACGTTAAACCATTCAGTCACCCCACCCCTCGTTCGTCTGTTTTAGATCGGCAGCAGCATCAACAACAACACTATCAATTTACAAAATCCAAAGTCAAATCAATTATAAATGAACATGATGCGATCCATCTAGAAGAAATAGGATTTAATATAGCAATATTATAAATCACGATACAGTCAAATGTCAGAAATAATCATAGTGGTATTTAAATAAGCATATCACTGAATGAATATAAAGTTATTGTATTATTCTAGTTAGAGTATGTACCTAAAATAATCACTGTTAATTACTATATAATTAATGAGAATAATTAAATAAATCTATTAAACACTATGTAAGTTTCTATGTGATTATGAAATGATAATTTGTATTCCACATCAAGTTAACCTTTCTATAATATCCTACGCCTTCATATCACAATTAATAAAATTAATAACCTGACATTACTACATCCTGCTACCATACCCAATTTCCATCAAAGAGAGAGAGAGATATGGGGTTTAACATCCACTCGACACAAACTAGGTCATTTCGGGACTAACATATGGTTCAATTTTATTTCAATAATTCGCTTGCGCGAAGGGTCTTTACCAGTGCCAGGAAACCGGAGGACCTGGAGAAAACCAACGACGAGGTTAGACAAGTGACCCTACTCCTTGTCATGTACAACAGGAGAATTGAAACAACGTCCGTTGACTCAATGACCAACCGTATGATAGCAGGCGCATACGCTAACCTTTCGGCCATCCACCCCCCACCCCCCATCACACCTAATTTCTATCGAACAAAAGAAGGTTATTGACCTCTACACGAGGGAGGCTATTACTCAAACCATCAACATATTTTTCACAACAAATCTAAACAGTACAAAAATGAAAAAAAAGGAATCTTGGGTAATTTTCATCAATAGCTTGACATACGTACATGTATATATTGTCGATGAAAACATTATAATGTTCATATATTTATTTTGACAGAAATATGTGTAAATTGTAAGGATAATTTCATTTTCTTGAAAACCTCAAGACAAACTAATATGGTTAGCTTATTTTTTTTTCAAAATACAAAATGGCACCCTATATTTTTTTAGAAAAAGCAATATGTCTGTAACAATTACAGTCATGGTTTATATCCAGTATCAATAAATAAAACAGTGAAAATTTCTAGAGAAATTCAGGAAACATTTCCACAATTCAACAATATTGATTAAGAATCCATCATCTAATACCTCATGTCAATTAGACCGAGTCGCATATTTCTAGCAACATCTACGAGGTACAGACTTCATTACATGGTCGAGAAAATCAATACACTAGCTTCATATTGAGTTAAAGAAATCCTCGAATTCCAAAACAAAACACACCCAATTACTGCCTTTAAACTTACCTAAAAACCTCATCAACAAATCCAATTTATATCCAAATATAGGTGTGACGCAATTCCAAGTTTTTTTTTAGTAGGGTGCTGGCATTTTGATAGAATTACGTAGGCCTGTGAAATGATAGAGACGATGTTTAACAGTTCCTCTTGGCAGCCATAACTTGTACCAGCTTGTGATTATTGGTAATCAATATACAGAGTGATGCATTCTGGGAAAATAATATTATGCTGATGTGAACGGCTTGGTAGCCATTAGTTAGATTCAGATATAATTATGTTAATTATCAATCATATCTGTATGTCAATCAGATTAATAATTATGATAATTATATTAACGCAACTCAGTAGTTTTAAATTACCTTAACTCAAACTGGTTAAGTCAGGACTGAACATAAATTTTATTCCACATTATTATATTCAGAATAACAACAGGTTAAAGATACATTATGTAAGATTTAGATAAGAGCAGTCTATTCTTGCTATAAAAGCTCAAAAATAGATAATGTAAAATGAAAATATTAAAAATTTCATTATATTCAGGTAACAACAGGTTAAAGATACATTATGTAAGATTTAGATAAAGAGCTGACCATTCTTGTTATAATAGATAAAAATAGATAATGTAAAATGAATACATTGAAAATCTCATTCAAATTACTTCATTCTGAACCAAGTTATCACTGTTTGTAGTTTTGACAAGAGTTGATTATGGTCTTGTTTTGTTAATAAATTAATATCTGATTAATAGTTTATATAACATTTCAGGCCTAAAGAAAGACCTGCAATAGGCAGATTTAGCTCTTGCATAAAGTATGTTTAAACAAAAACCAGTATTCTCTAAGCTACGCATTTCAAATTTGAGATACAGTCTTTAAAACTATTGGAAATTAAAAAAGAAAGTTTTGGAATACCTTTTATCTGTGACAAGCTGTTCTTCTCAAAGCAAAATCCAAAACACTCAAAACAGAAAAACTTATCTAGATTTAGATCTACTAAGATAATAATCACTCTGACCTGATATCATCAAGCATAGATTTGAATTCTTATTAATGACAGGTCTGTCTATAACTGTTAAGACAATGGAAGCAATTAAAGGTTATTATTGTGTATGATAATTAGTTGTATTTAGAGAGTTCTATAGTGACATATGGTACTCAACAACTCAGTCTATGACATTTATACAAACATCACAACTCATGTATAATTCAAACATTGGTACATTTAGTAATAAATATATTCTAAGCAGAATATCCAATGTCTTAAAATTGATTAAATGTTCACTGACAGGAATTGATATCCACTAACTAATTAAAGATACATTATGTGAGATTAGATAAAGAGCTGGTAGTTCTCACTATAATAGTTAAAAACTAGATAATGTAAACGGAATTTAAGGAAAATGTCAGTCAAAATGATCCACCCTGAACTGAGTATTTAGCGATTGAATTTTGAGCCTAACCTCGATTATCATTACTAAAGTCGGTACCATTGATTATCCATTTTTTGATTTAATCAGAAGCAGCAGATCGGGTTGTAATCCAGTAAATATCGCAGGCTAGCGATGCAATCGAGAGTTGATTATGGCCTGGATAAATTAATTAATATCTAATTAATAATATAGTTAATATTTCAGGCCTAAAGGAAGACCTGCAATTGGCAGATTTAGCTCTTGCATAATGTATGTTTAAAGGATTTAAAATCCTTCTACAATAAATTCATAAGAAACTAATAAAAAAATATAATTACAATATTTAGAAATTGAATTCCAGATTTCTATAGTTTAACACTTAATTTTAATTTACATGTTTTATTAATCTTAGTGTTAAAATTTTTCCAGTTCAGAACTTCAGATTCGCACATAGCACAAAAAAAGATAATTGAAAAGAATATTTGTGTGAAAGAGAAGACTTTGTTTTTTTGGTTTTTTTACTGAGTGCTTTATTTAATTCTGTAGAAATGAAATGAAATGGAATGGGGCTTAACTTTCTACTCAGACTTGGCTAATGAAGATGGGTATAAGCTAAACAGTGTGCTACATGTATGTGGGAAATTTTTTCCCAGACAACAGCACTATGGACTATGGCCTATTTTAAAGCTGCAATTTCATATTTTTAAGTTATATTTTTAAAATTTATTAAAATAAAGCCTTAAAATAGATGGTATCTATAAACAGTCCTACCTTGTTAAAGAATAATTCTATTAATCCTATAATTCACTATTGCCAGTTGAGAAATTGGCAAAAATATCATTTTCAACTTTAAATTCCAATGTTTGAAGATAGCTATTCCATGGGGGAATAGAAAAACAAGGGAGGTAATTGTGTTATTATTTCCGGGGTCAAAGGATTTTTAAGAGGGAGAATAATACCTATAATCGTATAATAGTGAGTTGACAACCTATTGAGCAAAAGACATAGAAATAATTATGTTTTGGCTTCCTTAGAAAATATGAAATTATTGCTTTAAATTCCAACTGTCAAGGGTTCTTTTCTGTACATGATAATGTGTAAAAGGGACCTTGTTTTTTGTACTATCCGAACAACTATACATTGTCCCTTGCCAGACCCTCCATCCTGCACCATTGACAAAGGAGAATCAAGCCAAAAAATCCAGATGCACTTTCTCGGCCAACACAGGGATCCGAATAGGAGACCTCCAAGCGTCTGAGCGGAACTACAGTCATGTGATCTGTATCTATTTAGACACCCCCACCCACCCCACCCCTTCAAGATAAATTTTCAGATAGCGATAGTTTGTCATTTGAAGAAATGGGATTGAACTGAATATAAAATCTATTTAATAACATCAATTATTCGATGGAAAACTAATATTCAAAACTAAAATGACTGATCAGTATTCCGTGTGACCAAACTCCTCAATTTGCAATTGAAAAGTACTCAATTCCAACAGAGGTCTTCATTATGTTTGAAAACACCAATGCCACTGAGACATGTGTCCTTTATGGCATTCAAAAGATTTTATTAATAATATTAAACATACATTATACAAAACCTAAATCTGCCAATTGCAGGTCTTTCTTTAAGCCTGAAATCTTATATACACTATTAATTAGACATTTATTAACAAAACAAGACCATGATCAACTCTCGATGGCATCGGATACTCAAGATTTTAACTCAACGGTTTGTCGTTGAAAAATTTAATTTAAAAATGGGAAAGTCTCGAATATACCAGTGCCCTGGTTACCACAATGCACACATCTTGTCAAAAACTACAAAAAGTTATAACTTGGCTCAGAATGAAGTAATTTGAATGAAATTTTCAATATTTTCATTTTACATTATCTATTTTTGAGTTATTATAGCAAAAATGGTCAGCTCTTTATCTAAATCTTACATAATGTATCTTTAATAATAACCTTTTTCTATAGCGCTGAACATTCAGTCAGTCTAAGTGCTCTGTGGCGCTTTAAACCAAATTTTATAAAATTCACATGAGACTTCTGCACATCATCATGTTAAGCAAAACATGTTTAAACATAATTATCTAAAATCATAAAAAATTTAATAGGGTTCTTCCTTATAGTATTCATTAATAAACAATCCAACCATGTTTTCAACAAATCTGTTCAAAGTTATGTTTTCTTAATGAGCCTATGTGAAATCCGTCTCCGAATGCAAGTGAAGACAATATACGTCTAAAATAATTGTGGGAATATAAAAAAAAGTTAATGTGTGTCTAGTCTATTGATTTTGAACGATATCTGTCGTTTAATTCCAGATGTTCGGAGTATATATAGTTCGGCATTGTTATATCGTTTAAGTGTAGAGATAGTAATCAAACACTTTGATATAATATGAGGTATTTTTTTTAAGCTGATTGTGTTTCAGTGATTATGATGATTACTTTACCCGTCTTCATTAGCCTGGTCTCCGCAGAAACCAGGAAAGTAGGATGATATATTAAAACCCTGTTTTATTTCATGATTACTTTCCTGAATTATGCTCGAGATGCCAAGATAAGGAAAAGTGAAATGGGGTTTAACGCCCTACTGTTCTGCTCCGAATGGGCTAATGAAGACGGGCATACACCATACAGTGTGCTGTGGGGGGAATTTTGCCCGGGCAAGAACATCGACTTCTTTAGAGGCCCTCGCGGCTACCCTACTTGCAGGCTCATTCTCAGCCCACCCCTTATCTACAGTGCTCACATTCCACGATTCGGCCACAACCCACTCCACCCAGGTAAGTGTCAGATATTTTGGACAGGTAGTGAACGATCAGATCACCAAATTACCAGTTATATATTACATTAGACTTCTATTTTATAATTTGGATATTTCATCATATTTTGAAAGTGATCAAGGACCAGAACTCTGGCAGTAATTATCAGAAATTGTTAAAAACAAACAGGCTTCTTTGTCTCATGACCTTAAACACTGTTAATTGAATATCAACTTTGGTCTCTAGAGTGTCCACAAGCAATTACGAGTGAAAGACCGACAGACGGGGGTGACGTCACAACAATGTGGTCTTGTACGAAACTACGCAATTATTGTACAGTTAACGACTCTGTCTATAATGTGACGCACTTGATCATTAATTAAAGCTTAAGAGTTGTTCAGCATTGATTTCAAGAGGTTTGCTTTCAAACGTCTACTTCACATAATAAGTCACAGTATAAATAAATCAACAACCAAGGAGGTAACAAATAGACTTTGACAACTGATCACGATCTGGATGGAATAAATTAAGTGTGTAATGAAATCATTCCTCCAACTAGGCATCAGACATTGCTTACAATATTTCCAAAAATTCAAATATTAATAATGTTTCTAAACCTATATGGAATTAAAAACCATATTTGGAAATTGGAAATTAAAGTCTGAATTGTCTTGTATTGAGAATTATATAGATATTCACACTTGAAAGCAATTATGTCTGTGTCAATCAATAGAAAGGTTGTGATCAATGGTCTCCATGGTAACACTGACGTCAATAATAGATATTGGGTTTGTAAACAAGAGCAGCATATAAAGCCTGAAGAGAACGTTTCTGTTGTCATCAGTACCCTTAAAGTGACACTAAAAATATTTTAAATGTCCACCCAAAAAATTATGGCAGCCATTTCCACTACCGTCATTATAGTATGAATCCCTATTAAGTGAAGTTCCTTGTTTTTGGCATAGTTCCTTTCGTTTTGTTTTTTTTTCGTCTAACTTTTCAAGT